GCTGGGCTTGGCATTGCCCACCTGGGTTTGCTGTTTTTCTGTGCTTGGAGCAGAAGCACGACTGAGGCCAGATGTTATCTCTGGGGAGGTGATCTTTGCATCTGGCTGTAAATTGCTCCACCAGTTTGTTCAGCTGTCTGTCTCAGTTCCCCTAATCCACTTGCCAAGGAATTTTCCTAGCTTTTTACCATCCTATCTCAAAAGATAGTACTGAAGAGTACCCCGATCAGTGTCAGGAATAGAGTAAATACCGTATAGTTGTCCCAGATGAATATGGGTGGTCCTCGAATGGCAGTGTGGCGATTGCTGGGAGGAGATGAAGGAGGTTTGGGGGGAGATAAATGTTGACGGTGTGAGACTTGACTTGGGATGCAAACACACAGTACAGTGTTCAGATGATGTGTTATTGAATTGTGCACCTGAAGCCTGTGTAATTTTGTTAACCAGTGTCACCCCCATAAGTTCAACAAAAAGAACAAAATAAAATTTAAAAATATGGGTGATCCTTTTTCTCCAGGACCTCGTAGCTGCCTTGTGGGTACAGACTAGTCATCAAGCAGTGTGAGGCACCATGTGGGAAATGCACAAGGTACTAGGGAGCCAGGAGAAGGGAGCACTAACTGCCTAAGGAGTGGGGCCTGGGGTCCCGCTACAGAGGTGGCTGCGGAATCTCAGGGCCTGTGATTGGGGGCGGTGATAACTTTACTGATACATCTGGAAGCATAAGCATCAGTAGATGCAGAAGACATTTATCCTTTAATGCTTATCATGTAGAGTGAGTGAAAATAGGGAGATCCAAAAATAATCTATATTTTAAAACTTGATTTAAATAACAAATACATGTGTGTGTTTTAACAAAACACACACAGAGAAAAATGTTTGGCTAGTTATACATAAAAATATTATTAGTGGTTACCTCTGAGTGATAAAATTTCAGGACTCTTTATGTATTTTTATTGTGGATTATGCTTTTATTGTGTAAATACATTTTATATTGTGAAGCATAACTTTATTGTGGAAATGGAAATTGGTAAAGACATTTTAGAAAACTGTTTGGCATTATCTAATAAGTTTGAAAGTGTGCAGACTCTTCCATCCGTAGGCAATGTGCTGAAGGAACTCTTGCACTCACTTATCAGACTTGTAAAGATGAATGTTCAGGCCAGCATTGATTGTAACAGCAAAACTTTGAAAAAACATACCCGTTTCTTTAGTTGTGGCAACTGGTAAAAAAAGGGTTTCAATAGGAATGTGGTTGAAAGCTTTCAAAATTGGGTTCTCAATTGTTCGTTGAAAAATAAATAAAGATATTGGAAATAACCTAACTACCCACTAGGAAGGGAATAGTAACATGATGGATGATAATTCAATTGTGGTATACCTATAAAATTGAATATGGCATAACTATATATTTACACATTTAAATGGAATGTGAAATGCTTATGAAAGAATGTGAAATGTAAAGGCAATATAAACATTATCATGTAACAAATCCATACATAAAATGCTGAAAGAAAATACACTTAAATGTTAACAATAGTTATTGCTAGTTTGTGGGATTATAAGTGATTTCCTTTATGTTTTACACTTTTTTTGGGTGTTGTCTAAATTTTCCAACATAAGAATGCATTGCTTTTAAAAAAAGAACAGCTTTATTAAGATATAACTTACCTACTATATAGTGCAACCATTTGAAACATTCTGTGTTCAATTTAAATTACACAATTGTTTTGTTTTGTTGCATATTCACAGAGTTGTGCAACCATTACCACAGTCTAATTTCAGGACACTTTCATCATCCCAAAAGAAACCCAGCATGCATCAGTGCTGATTCCCATTCCCTCTCTAGGCAATCACTAATTTACTTTCCATCTCTATAGATTTGCCTATTCTGGCTGGTTTGTATAAATGGAGTCGTACCACATGTACCTGTTTGTGTTTGGCCTCTTTAGTGCAGCATAACAGTTCAAGGTTCATCCATGTTGCATCATGTGTCAGTATTTCATTTCTTTTTATTGCCAGTTAATATTCCATTGTATGAATATTTCACATTTTATGAATTCATTCATCAGTTGATGGAATTTGTTTTGCTTCCACTCTTTAGCTATGATGACTAATGCTGCTATGAACAGCTTTATACAACTTTTTATGGACATAAATACCTAGGAGTAGAACTGCGAGGTCATATGGTAAGTTTGCTTAGCATTTTGAGGAACTGCCAAACTATTTCCCAGAGTGACTGCAGCATATTACATACTAGCGATGTCCGAGGTTTCCAGTGCCTCCACATCTTTGTCAACCCTTGCTCTTATTTATTTTTTGATTATAGTTATCCTAGTGTGTGAGAAGTGGCATCTCATTGTGGTTTTGATTTGTATTTCTCTAATGGCAAACATGAATGTCTTTTCTTGTGTTTATCAGCCATTTATATGTCTTCCTTGGAGAAATGTTTATTCAGATGCTTTGCGCACTTTTTAATTGTGTTGTGTTTTTATTGAATTGTAAGGGTACTTTATATATTCTGAATACAAGTCTCCTTATCAGACATATGATTTGCAAGTATTTTCTCCCATTTTTGGGTTGTCCTTTCACTTTCTTAGTGGTACCAATTAAATAAAAAACTTTTAAATTTTTATGAAATCCAGTTTATCTAATTTTTTGTTACCCATACTTTTGGTATTTATATAAGCAAAGATTTACTTTTATCTAAACTTGTAAGAGTTTTAACTCTTACATGTAAGTCTATGATCCATTTTGAGTTAAATTTTTATTGTGTCAGAAAGGAGCCTAATTTCATTCTTTTGCATGTGGATGTCCAGTTGTTGCAGCACCATTTGTTGAAAAGACAATTCCCTATTGAAGTGTCTTGGCATCCTTGTTGAAACTCAATTGACTATAAATATAAGGGTTTATTTCTGGAGTCTCAGTTCTACTCCATTGATCTACCCTTATGCCAGTACTACATACACTGTCTTGATTTGTGTAGCTTTTGTTTAGGTGTTGAAATCTGCAAGTGTGAGGTTTTCAACTTGGATCTTCACTTTCAAATTAGTTTTTGCTATTCTGGGCCCCTTACATTTCCATGCATTGCTTTTATACTCAAAGGGGAGAATATTTTTAGAAAAAAGAGAAAGGAAGATAGATGTTGCTGAAGGAACTGGGAAATGTACTTTGTGTTTTCTGAGTGCTGCTATGCAGTACACCTTTTCTCTTGGGCAGGGGAATTTTTCTCTCCTAAATTTTGTCCTGGTCATAGTGTTTTGTTTTTTTTTTCTCCTCACTGTTGCTGAACAATGTGCAGGGTGTGCAGATTTATCTAAGGCCTCATTTCCTACCTGAACCACTTGGCTGGGTAAGGGGTTCTTTCCACAAAGGGGCTCCCACAACATCCTAATTTAGAGTTTACTTCTAGCAAAGTATCATCACACTCTATTGTTGTGGCCTCTACACGGTTTTTATTGCAACCTCATCAGCAAATCACTTTTGAGTGTGCATTTCTGCATTTTCATTTCCAGTATACAAATATATGTATATTCATTCATTTGTAAGATGTATACACTTATGATCATTATGTATATTAAAATATAAATAAAACAGAAATTTTAGAGAATGAGATAAAATGATTACAGTTTTCCTACACTTCATAGGCTTGTATCTGTCTAGAGACTGCCCCTTAGATCTTTCCTATTTACTCCCTGTGTTCCCAACACTCAGGCAAGGGCTGGGTACATAGCAGAAGCTCAATGTCTGAGGTGCAAAAGAAAAATTGCAGATATCCTACTATTTCTATTAATACCCACAACCTCTATTTCTAAGTTTTGCACCATGTAATAAAGGTTCTGCATCTATCATCTGCTAGGGTCAATTTATGAAGAGGCTGTGACCTCATCTCTCCTTGTTTTCTATTTTACCTTTGATTACACCTCTGCTGACTTAACTTCTTTGGAAAACAGCATTCATATTATCCTTGACTATACTCTTCATACAAAATAGAAAGCAAGCTCTCTAATTTGGATGTATCACGGGTGGATGTGAATAAACAGCAAGGGAACTCTTGAGAGCCAGGGTGGGCTTCAAGAAGCTGGATTTCGAAGGGCGGGTGGAATTTAGCTAAATGGGGAAAGGAGGAAGGAGGTCCCAGCTGAACCGCAGGAGCAAAGGTAGGAAGATGGGAGTGGACCTAGCATACTGCAAGCTAGGGGAAAGTTTGTGGTGTAGCTGAACCCAAGGGTCAGGAGCAGTTGCATTTGTGTTTTAAAAGATCCCTCCAGCAGCTCTGTAGAGTATAGAGTCTTGAGGCTGGAAGTCAGGGGAGGCTGCTGGTTGTGTGGACAGTGGGGCACAATTATACTTAGAGGATAGATACCTATGGCCTTGGAAGGGACGGAAGCAGGTGAAACTCTTCATGCTCTGGCCTCATTCTTTTTTAGGATCTCAAAGCCCATTTTTAATTTTTTTTCGATCCATGGTTGTTGCTGCCCTTTCCCTTTGTTTTCCAAGAAACACTTATACCTTCAATGAAAAAATCAGTGTATTTCCGGGGAATCCTGCGGGGGGGCTTGGTGTGTTCTGTTTCTGGCCTCCTTTGAGGCCTACGTCCACAGAAAGATGCTGAGGCGCATTTCTGCACAGATTTTGTCAAGCCAGGGCTTGGTTGAAAGCTTCATCCCACCCCCGTCCCAATTAAATGAAACTACACACGCAGATGGAGGTTCAGACTCATCCTACCAGAAAACCGCCTCGGGATATCAGGAACCCCGAAACTACAGCCAAGGACGTGTCGAGGCGGGGCAGGCCGCCCCAGTCACCGCCAACGGCCTTTCAGGATCACACCCTTTCCTGGGGAAGGAAGGGGAAGGACAACCCCAGCGACCTCTCGTAGGGGACCCTGCGCCGGCTGGGTTGGGACGGCTTCCAGGCGCAAGGGGGCGGGGCCCCCCTGCACGACTTTTTCGGTGACGGCGCCAGGCCCCGCCCCTCCGGGGAGAGGGGGCGGGCGCTCGAGGCGAGCGCGCTTGGAGGGCCCGAGCCCGCCTGGGAGCCCGGGGAACCCTGCGCGGCCAGCGGAGCGCTTTGGGCGTCGGCGGCGCGGCATGGCTCCGGTCGCGGACCGCGAGGGCTACTGGGGCCGCACGACCTCCACGCTGGACTGGTGCGAGGAGAACTACGCGGTGACCTGGTACATCGCCGAGTTCTGTGAGTGCGACCTCCGGCCCCGGGCCCCGGCCTGAGGCGGGCGAGTGGGAGAGAGGGCGCCGGGCTGAGGGGGAGACGCCGGGTGAGGAAGGGTGAGGGCGGACCTGGAAGCCAGGGAGGCAGCAGGCCCGGCCTCGGGGAGCGGGGTGGGAGCCCTGGCCGGGAGGCAGGAATGAGAAGGCTGCAGATGGAGGGACCGGATGGGAATCTAGCGTGTCGCCGAGGAGCGCCGGGGTCTGGACGGGTTGGGGGGGGGGGGCACCTGCTCCTACTGTTGCTGCCACCACCCTAAGGGCACAGAAGGGAACAGATCTCCATTTAATCTCCCCTCCCCCATACGTGAGAACTCTAAGGTCTTCGCTTTCCTCTTTCCCTGTTAATATTAGACCTCTTCGGTCACCTCCAGGAAACGGTTTTCCAGTCTCGGGTCTCAACCCCCTACCTCCATTCCCTCCCGCCTCGGACATCTTCAAGTACCTGAGCACAACTGTTGAACTCTCGGCTTGCACCAGAGGTAGAGGGCAGAGCATCTCGTTAGTCTCTACCTTCCGGCCGGTGCCAGGGTCCCAAGAGCACAAGGGACCAAGTGCCTTCTGCTCTGCCTCCTCTCCGACTGCCTAAGGGTTAGGGGTCATCCGAGGACACTGCTATCACTGATCACACTTCCTTCAGCTGCTGCCCCTGACAGGCACCACTGGCTCCTCGGCTGTGTGTGTGTGTGTGTTTCCCCAGATGAGTATTCCTGCCAGACTCGGAGAGCACAGGAAAAATCGGACACTTCTTTTTCTGTTGTTTACTTTGGTCATGTTTTGAGAGCACAACGTTTGATGCTTCTTCAGGCACCTGCTTCTGGCGAGGGATAGAGAATATTTTTGTCTATTCCTTCTTTTCATTTGCTCCACTTGCTCAGGACATGGAGCACACTTTTAGCTAACCTTCCCATTGTTGGGTCCTTCTCCCAGGCGTGTGCTTTTGACTTGTAGAAAAGAGGCAAGGGTTTCCTACCAGCTGATCCTATTTATTTCTGTTTCCAGTAATTGGCTGTTTAAAAGAAAAAAAAAAAAGGTAAACAGAACTCATCCTGAAGTTTTAGGACTTTAGTACCATTCCCTTTATACGATGATTTAGGCTGAGATATTTCCTGAACTACAGGTTTAAATTAATATTTTTTAAATAATGGTAAAAATATGGGCAAAGGATCATTTGTAGGTTATATAGTTGGCAGTTTAAAAGTTGGCAAAGGGCCCTGGGTGGCGTAGCTCAGTGGATTGAGTGCGGGCCTGCGAACCAGAGTATTGCGGTTCGATTCCCAGTCAGGACACGTGCCTGGGTTGCAGGCCAGTTCCCAGCAGGGGACAAATAAGAGGCAACCATACATTGATATTTCTCTCCCACTCTTTCTCCTTCCCTTCCTCTCTCTCAGAAAAAAAAAGTTGGCAAAGGACGCACTTTACCAGTTTCTTTGATCTTGTTGGCAGGCCTACCCCTGGTCCAGAGGAGGTCCACGAGGGAAGGGATGTAAAACCATGCTCTCTGAACTGGAGATGGAAGAGAAACTCAAGGGTCTTCAAAAGTTACATGGGCTGTCATATAGAGAGTTAAACTTTAAGTATTTCCTATAATCTGGAATTAGTGCCTATGGGTGGAAACAACTGTAAGGAGAGATCTTGCTTCAACATAGGCAGCTTTTTATCTAAAGATGGGATCTTGGAATGGGTGGACTCGTGAGGTAGAGGAAGGATTTTTTGACACGGAAAGTGTTAAAACAGACATTGCTCAACTAACTCGAAACGTGAATATTTTAGGGGGAATTATTTGTTTAGTAGAGAAAAGGATGGGTTGGCTTTAGTTGGCCTTTAGGTTCTTTGCATCTTTACGGGTCAATATAGGTAATAATGACTCTTAGTTTAGAACCAAGGGTTAGAATTAAAAGACAAAACTGACAGTTAAGTCATGTGAACGAGATACTACTGTTCTGGCAGATAGCTCTGAGAAATGGGAAATGGCTTTAGTTACTAATGTTCTTAGAAGAGGAAGCTCTGAGCAGACTGCAGGGAGGGTTTTGACATAGGAATTGGGGGTTGCAAGAAGATGATGAGCGAATGTTGGCCACCCTTCACACATGCACCTTGGGAGAAAAAAATGATCTGGAGGAAGTTGAGGTCAAGTCTTACCCAGCAAGTAAAAAATACTGATTAATAATGATGTTTTTAAAACAAATGCAGCTTTATCATCATTCTAGTATTTAAAAAAATGATAGAAACATTGAAGATAGAAATAATAATGACAGTAACTATATCTAAGTGCCTCCTATGTATCACACTTTCCCAAGTGCTTCATATATCTTATCTCTTTTGGTCTTTACCATAACTCCAAAAAGAAGGTATTATTATTCTCATTTCATAGATTAGGAAATCGAAGTAAGTAATAACGTTGTACTCTAAGAAGGAAGGTTGCAAAGGGTGATGTGGAGGTGGTATTCCAGTTGAGGGCTGACTCCAGAGCTACGATACTATATTACTTCTATCACATTCATTGTTAATTAATATCCTCCATGCAAGGAATGAGGACAAGCATGATATAGTATACTATCACAAAGGAAAAAGTGAATCACTATTCAAGAAGCCTATCTTTCAGCATTATGGTGCGTGTATTTTGGATAACATAAAGATGAGTTTGGGAAATTGAATATTCAGATGTGGCAGTGGTTCTTAGAAGCTATCTTCTTCACATCAGCAAAGTTGAATTCAAATTTCTTTTCTGTTTGAGCAGATTGTAAGGACCAGGGTAGAAGATTTTAGTTGTGAAATAATAAGCACCTTGATGTACCAGAAGTTATAGGTACAGGTAGTCCTCACTTTGTAATGCATTGTGCAACATAAATGACCATGCAAGTTAAAACTGGCAAAGTGATCTTAATTAATGGGAAAAGTTACGATTGCTCTGTGACCTTTAAAAATTTTTGTCATACATTGTAAACCCTTTTCTTGTTGGTTATAAATATATAGAAAAATGAAGAAGATAGTAAAACTAATATTTATTTGGTACATTGAGGATTAAAATATATTTTTTTGTTAAAGAACTTAAGAGTAGCTTGAACAGTACCTGCCTTCTTGTCTTATAACATGTGATATGGAAGGAGTATTTTTTCTGTGCCTTGTTGAATTGTTATACTCCTAAGTTTGAATCAGCTTCCAGCATTTTATTCTTTGTACTTTCCACATTGTGAAATAGCTCTGAGGGTTCCTTTAACATTAAGTTTTTTGCTGATGTCACTTCTGGTCCATCTTCATACTTTTCTCACAACCATTTTCTTTGTGTCAATAAGTTTGCCTTCACTAGGTTTCTCTGCCTGGATACCTAGAGTCTCAAACGACAGTGGGGTCGACATTGTCATGGTCATCTATTTCTTCTGTCTATTTATGGATGATTGGAATTTCACTGCTAACATTGTCACTTTTGTTTCTTTGCTGTACTTTCATCATTGTTGGCCTGTTCTCTCTTTCGATTGTTCATTTTTGCAAAATGTCACATACATTCATCACCAGGAAACAAGGAGGCAACTCAGCTACATGCTTTGCTATCTGCCCAAGAGCTGAGTAACAGATGTGCAGTGACTAATCACCAAGGGGCTTTGCCCTGATGTCTTATCCATAGTTAGCAGTTTAGGCAGAGAGATATATTTCTCTCAGTGCTTTGAAATTATTATTCCATTGTGTCCTGGCTTTTATTGTTGCTGATGAGAAGTTCTCCAACAGGCTAATTGTTGTTCTTTTGCCATTTATTTTGTCAAATCCACCAACAGACTTTGAAAGAAATGACTTGGTTAATCCTGATGGTGATGTGCTTCTATTATTTATACGTGATTTGCAGACTGAAGGTTTAGTAGCAAAGTTTGTAGTACTATGTTTAATTACTCACAGTTGATATACTGTGAGTAACTGAAATTTGAGTTGTGTTGTTGGGGGATTGGTCTGAACTAAACTGTGGTAACTGAAATTTGTACATATTACAACTTTGCAAAGTGAAGACTGCTTGTGTATTTCTAATCCTTGGGACATTCCTAGGAAGTAATAAGCAGATGATGTTATTCCCTTTTTTTAGATGAGGATACTGAGTTTTATAGAAGTAACCTGCACAGCATCATACAGCTATTAAGTGGCAGAAATGGTATTCAAATATAGGTCTGACAGATCTTCTAGCAAGACATTCTGTCTACAGGAAGTGGAATTTCAGGTGTAGTTCATTTCGTGGAAGAAATATTACCTAAAGGGAAGTGGAAGTGAACGCTATGCTTTAATTATGGCCTTCAAGGAGAATTACCTAGTGAAAAAATTTTCAGAATGTCTTGTTTGTTCAGCAGATAGTTGTTAAACACCTTTTTAGTCATTGACTCAGAGTACAAAACTATGTGAAGACACTCTGATCAAGGTAGGTAGCAAGCTAATAGTAATATAAACAGGTAAATTCAAATAGGCATTTCCTATTTTCAAGGGAAATGCATTACTAAAAATGTATTTGAAAGACAGATGTCCAAGAATTGATATATTATGGAGGGTTTATTTATCAGAAAGCTAAAATATATTTTAAAAATTCTAACTGTGGGTTTTATAGGGGTTATAAAAGCTAGGTAGTTGCTGTCCTTTCTCATAGGATTGCTGCCCCTTTTCCCATCCTTTTCTCAGGAATTGGGCAGAAGAAAAGCAGGGCAGCCCTTACTTTTTTGACCTTTATTATGAGATTCACTTAGATGGGGCAAAGGGGTCTTTATTTTCTTGCCACTGCCACGCAAGACCAGAGAGGCTTCAACCAGCTGCCTCTGCCATACACACAGTGCCATTCAAGGCATCTAGCTGCTCCTAGTTCACTGCTGCATTTCTTTTTCTTTCCTTTTTTATTTTTTTAGGTCCCTTTCCACTCTCTTTTCTCTGCCTAAATTGCTAACTATGGATGAAACATCAGGGCAAAGTCTGTTGGTAGATTAGTCACTGCACATCTGT